CACAATAATTGAGAGAAAAATTAGTTTGAATCTTAATTTCTCTATAAATGGTCAAGACTCACATGCTAATCATGAGAAAAACAGGGAGCACTTTCCAAAGACAAAATGGATCATTTGGGTGGAAGTTGTTTTGTGTGGACTAAAAGATTTTCACTGATTCTTTAACCTTATTTTCCTGTCTTCAAAGATAGACCATAAGAGCATATTTGTAAAACACACAGTCAGCTGGACATCTCACAGGAGACTGTGGCTTCATACTGAAATGACAGATTCCCCAGTGGCGTTATTCCATTTTAGGGAAACAATTTTAGATACTTTTGGAGTTAATCATCCAACAAACTGTTTTATGTGCATGTTCTGGGATCGCATAACGATGGTATGTCCATATTAGAAGCTTCAGTTACTTATCACCCCCAAGCTGGCTGAACAGGACTCACTCACGTTGGGTTATGGCACGGAAGATGCGCCGACTAGCCCAACACAGAGGACTCAGTCCTGCTGGTACGGAAGACACCTAGTGGGGGGCCTCCCTAGAGGCCCAGGGGTTACTCTCAGGCTGTCACCCCTGCAGTACAAGTCCATCCCCGGCCAGGGAGCTACCCACATGGCGCAGCAAACCTCTCCTGTCTCCCGCTGCTCCCCTTAGCAGTGTATTTCAGTGGATCCACCTGTTCTGCTCCCCACTCTGTCTCTGGTGAGTCGTCTCACCCACAGACCTCTGGCCTGCACCCCAGCTCTTCTATGAAGAAAGAAAGAGAGGAAGGGAGGAAGGGGAGAAAGAGAGAGAGAGAGAGAGAAGACATCTACAGGGAAATCTTCCAGAAGATGTTTCCAGTGCTACGATGCTGCTGGAAACACTTGGAGGCCTGTTGCTAACTTCCTGAAGCACAAGGCCGCAGATTCTTTCTCCACGTGCCCCCCCACCCCCCACCCCCCCACCCCCCCACCCCCCCACCCCCCCCACCCCCCACCCCCCCACCCCCCACCCCCCCGGGTGTTTATCCCCGGGGCCAAAAATACTTCATTTATGCACATGGGTTTTATCGTAGCATCTAGATTTTCTTGCGTGTTTCCACGTTTAAGGAAGATGGAACCTAACAAATCCACTGGATGGCTTCAATTAGGTCACCTCGTTTGCCTGTTTCCTGCTGCCCTAAATAAGAGTGTTTTGACAAGCAGATTTCAAAAACACATAACGTGGAGTAGTGATTATAAAAATACTCTCATTTAAAGTCCAATGAACAAAAGAAAGAAAAGATAAGCCCAAAGGCCCCCGTCCTATCCACACCCCGTGTGACTCAGCATCTCAGGAGTGAGCGCCTGCAGGCGTGAACGTGCCCTCCGTGCTCAGGGAGACAGCGCGGGCTGCTCCCCCCACACCTGGCCTCCGGCCACCGGGCAGCCTGGGGAGGAAGCCGGGGTGGATTTGGAGCTCCTAGCCCCTAAATGTTCACCGGATAAGCGTTGGCTTTTCCTGTCTTATTTCTGGTTGCCTTCGTCATTTATCTATTTTATCTCATTATCGCTCTGCTCTTCCTGTCATCACCCTCGACCCCTCTGCGGAGAACACGGAGCGATGGGCGGACTGCGTGACCCGGGCTGAGTCACCTCTGTACACGTCAGTTCTCTGGTGTGCAAAATGAAGGTTTAGATGATGCACTTACACGCGTCCGCAGCGTCCACAGGCAGGGAGCCGAGCGAGCAGGAGAGGGAGGGTCTATGCAGCAGGCGTGCGGCTGCTGGAGACCCAGCCCAGGGCCCAGCCCGCGGCAGCAGGCGTCACCCTCGGACGGCAATTGCTCATGTTCATTCAGATCTCTAACTCTGGCTCCTGGGGTGGGGGGGCGTAAGAAACCAAAAAGGATTTTTAAAAAGAGGAGGCTACTGGCCGCCGGCTGCCCGCGAAGGGCTCTCCCTGGCCGCTGCTGGCTGTACAGCCAAGTAGCATCATTTCCCAGAGGCTCACAGGGTGATGAACGCTACAACACGTGCTTTGCATAAAACGGGAACGCCCTTTCTTCAGTTACCCCGGAGCCCACAATTTCTTTTGTAAAGACATTCTCTTCGAAGCCAAGACCCTAGAGCCCTGTGGGGCGCGGGGCGGAGAGAGAGTAACAGCGGCGGGGCGCGCTGGGCAGGCCTCCGCCTCCCCATCTCGGAGTACCTCAGGGCTCGATGCTTGGCTGAAGCTCCAGGAAGCAGCCATGACGGTGCTCGACGACGCCTCTTCTCCGGAACCGCTTCCCAAATGCCCGGCTGCCGGTCCCGCGCTTGCTTCCATGTTAAGTGAGATGGGCCTTTCAAAAGCAATAGACGCCGTAAGTTAGGTCCGTGCTCTACCTCAGATACGAGGACGCGCGCTTGCGGGTACGCACCTGACCCGCAGGAGCGATTCGGACCAGAATGACTGCTCCACGCTCCCAACTCTGGTCACTTTTTCAAGACACAGGCCTGGAGCTCTGAGAATGGGAAGGAAAAACTAAATACAGAATCTGGAATGTTTTCGGGTTTGACAGAAAGTCAAGAAGGGTGTGGGAAATGCACGCTTTCATTTTCCTCTGGGGCTTGGGTCGTGGGAAGGGGTGGGACGCGGGGCGGTCAGAGGGCAGCGTGGGGAGCGAAGGGGGAGGTGACCGAGGGGCGGCCTGGCACGACCTGGGCGTGTGTCAGCGCCCGGTGGGGTCTGGCGACGGCAGGGCCGCCGCGGCAGCGTGTGCGAGGCTCATCCATGGAGAAGCACTGTGGGTGGAGAGAGAGAGGCAAGGGCGATTCAGCTCAGCCTGGAGCTCCTCTGTGATGGCCCGCCCGGGGGGGGGGCGGCGAGCTGCCCAGTTAGGGCTCCTGGAGGGCGGGCGCAGGGAGGGCGCCGAAGGATGCCTCTGGAGCAGGAGCTGGGGCCAGCTGGAGGAGGGGGCAGAGGGCTGCTCTCGGCCCGAGCACGGTGATGCCAGAGGCTCTGCGTGTGAGGGAAGAAGGATCACTAAGAACTTAAGTCATCGAGAAGGAAGAAAAAGTGGTTCTGAGCACAGAGGTCGTCCTGGATCTATCAGGCCGCACATGGAGTATATCTGAGTGTGTGCTGGGACTCGAGATCCGAGAAATGAGAGCAGATGGAGGGACTCCCTGGTCGTTTGAGTTCCTGGACCCAGTCGCAGTGAGTGTGAGTGTGAGTGTGTGTGTGTGTGTGTGTGTGTGTGTCTAGGCAGTCATAGGAGCCAGCAGAGAATTCACTTGACCCGCCGCCATCATGCTGCTGTCCACCCGGGGCCAGCATCCCGCTGGTGAAAGGCTCGTCCTCCAGGGACGGGTGCCACGGCTGGTCACTGCCTAAGCGCCTGCCCACCGCTATAAGGGGAGCTGCCCACAACAGCCCCCAGTGTGGGCGCAGAGAGTTTCCTAGACGGACTCAGAGAACTCCAGAAGACTGTTCCCCACCGGGCAGCTGATTCTTACTGAGGCCATCAGGACACAGACCAGCGGCGAGTGGAGACACAGCGGGCGGAGGAGCATGCTGAGGCACGGCCCCAGTCCCGACGCCTGCCCCTCTGGGGTGCAGGCGGCCCCCCGAGATAAGCTAGACGGATTAGTGCCTTTCTCGGTCGTGACCGATTCAGCCTGCAGCCCTTGCCCTCCCTGGAGCCGGGAGACCAGGCTGGGGGCCTGCCCTGGCTGGGACCCCTGGCAGCTGGGCCCTCCCCACGGGCCTCCGCCCGCCTAAGCCGGCTGCGAGAGGGGCGCGTCGCTGTCTGCAAGGCCGCCACTCCCCCCGCAGCTGCGAGCTGCAGACACAGACCATACTAGGGCCCAAAGGTGCCGCCATCATCATGGTGGGCTGGGAAATCCCAGGCTGTGGGCTGTGAGCCAGGAGCTGTGGCGAAGACCAACCGCACGTTATACCCCTCACAAATCACACGTGCTCCAGCCAGGGGAGAACAGCTCGCAGCGCGGGGGGAGCCGGGGAGGCCTTAGCCCAGGGGTGCCCGCTCAGACCTGGGCTCGTTTTCCCGTTTAAAAAGAAATTCACCCAAAGGCCCTTAGAGACCCAATGGGTCACGTCAGAAGGTCCGTCCGCCGGTGTCATCCTGTCGGCGAGGACCAGGGGCCGCGGGCCCCGGGCCTCATGGCGGGAACGGATCGCAGGAGAGGGAAGGGCTGTTTCTGGCGAAGCTGCTCTGCGCCCACCCCGCCGGGCAGGCCTCGGTCCCGCAGGGATCCTGATGGGCGCCGGCCAGCAGACCCCGGGCTGGCAGGCCGGTGTCCCGCAGGGAGAGGCCGGGCTGCTCGGGAGTGATGCCGGGTGGGCTCGGCGCGCAGGAGTGCAGGTGGGGTCAGCGGTTCCAGCCACTGCTCGCGTCCATGTCCCGCTATAGAAGAGATTAAAGCTCCACATGGCCTCGGGCGCAGCAAGCCGCCGCCTCCGCGCCTGCCCAGCACGTTCTCCTCGAGTTCTAAGAGCGACGGGGGACAGCTGCCGGCCAGCGGGCCGTGAGGGAGCCGGGCCCGGCGGGGTGGCGGGGGGCGCTTTCTGGACCCGGCCCCGGAGCCCGGACACGGCACGGCAGGGCTGCTGCGAGCCCGGGCGGGCGGAGCTGCCGGGACACCCTCGAGAGGCTCGAGCCCCAGACTGCGGCCTGGCCCTGCTCAGGGCCGCCCTGGGCGCCCCCGCCGGCCCCGGCCCCGGCCCCCCCACACCCCCACGTCCTCGCGCTCAGCGCGCCTTTCCTCACCCGAGACCAACACGCCCTGTTCCCTCCTGTCCGTGTGTCCTGCGCGCCCGAGGACGGGGACGGGGACCGGGGGACGCGGCCCCTCCCGCCGGCGTGTCCACAGGTGAACTTTTTTTTTTTTTTAATGCAAGGAACCGCCGGGCGACGGGGTGGCGTTTGGCGTTTTCTTTATTTCAGCTCAAAATGTCAAAAAAGGCGCCCGCGGCCAACGACTCCGCGCAGACCCGGCCCCGCCTCCGCCCCGCGTGGGCGTCGCGCGGAGAGTCTCGGCGCGTGTGGGGCGTCTCGGTATCTGATTATTTGCCGGCCAGGACGAGGGCATTGGGGGCCAGGCCGATTTCCTCTCTGCTCCAGCATTTGGGGACCAGCCAGACGACCCCCACAATGGCTGGTCACCAAGATGGCGGCAGGGATGGGCGCAAGGACGGGGAGCGCCTCCGCGAGCCAGAGCCGTTTCCACCAGTCAGACTCCTGCGCTCCCTCAGAGACTGTTTCTCTCTCTACATGTAGGATTGATGAGAGACAAAACAACTAGGGCGGATACTACGGCAATACTGTAATGTCTGGTTCTATAGAATTGACCCTAATAGCAGCTGCTGGCCCTAAAAGGCATCTGTTTCCTGGATTCCTCCCCACCTCCAAGATGTTTCCACACTTCCTTACTTGGCTTCAGTTGGATAACGTAGAATTCTCTGCCCCAAACATTTTGGAATAGTGAAGCCAGCTTCTTGGGTGACTCTTTCTTGCAGAACTTTAACATCACTGTCGGAAGAGGCGCCTGAGTCAGGTCTTTATTTTGGGGCCTCCTGAGACCTTTGCTTTCAACCCTCAAAGCAGGGCTCTTGTTCCGCAGATGTGGGCTGTCTGGTTTGTGTTTGGGCGTTATATCACCAAGTCTTTTGTTTCATGTTACCCGGGGGATCTGCTGTTTTATGGTGTTTTCCATGTTTTTATATGCTGTTAAGGTTTGAATAACATCCTTTCCACCTGCAGGTGCTCTTCTGTTTGGTTTCCATAAGCTGGCCATCTACCCACCTGTCGAATTTTCCCAGTCTTGAGGTTTGGGTACAGGTGTTTCCACCCCCAGCCTCTGCTTTCTGTGCGGTTAATCTCAGTGAGCACTAGGGCCAAAGCTCTTGCTACAAAAATACTGGAAGTCAAAAAGCCACATACTTTGGTGGGTGTGGGTCAGGGTGTAAATGCTATTAGAGTTTGCTGCCTCAAAGGAATCCACTATGGAAGGATGAGTTGGTCGTGGAGCAGGTGAGAGTGGCACCTGCCAAACACAGGAGGGTGTCCCTGCATCTTGACGGTAAAGCACACCCCAAATCCATACATGCATCCTAGGTCAGCATCTGGCTCCAGGAGACCAAACTGTAGCTGAAACTTAATGATTCAAGCCTTTACTTTTGTCATGGCTTATGCTGGGAGTGAACTACTCTGGAATTTCTGGTAAGCTATAAAAAAAATCTTACTGGTTGGTTGAGTGGCTATTGAATTAGAAATATTCCAAATTGCTTAAACTAAATTGCATATTGGATTTTTGAAAAATTCAGAGAGCTCTCAAATTAAATTTCTTATTGGAAAAGATTGAATTGGAAGGAAAAAAGGGAAAAGAAAAGTTGAGAATCATCTTGGCTGGCCTTAGGGAATGTTTTTAATAAAAGTACAGTAATCAGACTTAAGATCATGTCTTAACAAAGATTATGGTCTTGCTTTTGCAAAATTCTTAGCTTGCTAGTCCATAATATCAAAGATGTCTATAAGGTCTCCAGTGGCCACTAGGGAGCCCCTTTAAGTTTCCAAAATTTGTCTTCTATGTACCAATTCAAAACTGCAGATTCAAGGAAAATGAACAGTTTTGAATCCAAAGCCAATTTGGGTCAATAAACAGCAAAATGTAAGGAAAAAGACCTCAGGCTGTCCCTTCCTGTACTACTACACCATCTGTTTTGTGGGTGAGTTATTGTCTTAGCCTTAAATATGGATGGATAGATGAGAGTTTCACTATTTCTACACAGTAGGAGTTATCTTAGGACCTTCTTTGATGATGTTGGGAATGGTTTTAGTCTGAGCCCACGGGTTGTAAAAACAGCTGAAGAGGGCACTTACTCTAGTATACAATAGTGTTACTTTCCACGGTTATATTGGGAACTGGTCCCTTACATGAAAGCACATTAGAAAAAAATGTAGTTGAATGGGCATGTCACCCTGATGACACAATACAGGCTACAACCCACATGCTATGGGGAATGAGGCTATCTTTGCTCTGCAAGTAGATTCCTTACCAGACCAGAGGCAAAACTTTAAGAACAACTCATCGTCCGTCTTTCTAGGTATTTAAAAAGGGAGGAAAAAAACCTCTAGCCTTAGGAAGCCTTAGAATCTGTCTCTGTGATGTAAATTTTCTTTTTTTTAATATTTATTTTTATTTATGCATACAAGAACTGGGGTGTAGATTAGAGATGCAGGGAAGGGGGTGGTGAGGATTCACCAGAGGCAGAGTGGGGAGCAGAACAGGTGGATCCACTGAAATCCACTTCTGAGGGGAGCAGCAAAGAGACAGGAGAGGCCTGCAGCAAGGTGTGGGTCAGCTCCCTGGCGGGGGATCAGACTCAGGCCATGGTGCCTGCCATAGCTTGATAGCTCTGACTTTAATCCCTGAGCCACCAGGGAGGCCCTATGATGTAAATTTTCTGCCCCCACTTTCTTAAGGACCAAAGAACCTGTCTTTAAAGTATAAATTTAAAAATAATTTCTGATCAAAAGAAAGTACCGGATATTGGATCAGTAGAACTTTGTGTTTTCACAATAGGGGTAGTCCAATGGGATGTCCTTAAAACCAATACATGCAGCTGAGATTTTTAATGTGAACTAAGAGACTATGTTTGTATCCAGTTGCAAATTTGTGTGTCTACCTTCTTGTGAGTCATTGTGTTTAAACTCCGCAATATTATTAGAATTAATTTGTATATAAGTGAGTTACAGGTGGTATCTATTTAAATTTTAAATGCAGATATATAGTAGCAACTTACCCAAATGTTTTTCAAGAAACTTGATCTGGTGTAATTTTTGGTGAATGAGAACTAACTCAAAATGTAACGCTTTCATTTGAGACACGCAAGTCTTTAGAATTAAGAATTCTGTGTTTATCGATCCGAATTAGCCTATGGGACCTAACAGGAAACATAACTGACTCGATCTCGTGAGTTTTTGTGGTTAATATCAAGAAATAACAAAATGGGGCAGTTTGTCTTCAGCCCGCACTCAGTGTAGACGGGCCGGGATACCCTGAAGCTTCCCCGGCCGGCGAGCCTGCCTGAGAGGGAAAGCCTTAAACCAACAAGATGAAAATCACTAGCGACGATTCGTCCTTCAGCTACTTTTAGTAACTTAAACTCTAGAGATGGATGAGACCAAATAATTGGACCAAATCAAGTTTTATTTAAGGCACAATGACCTGACCGTGTGGCCCCACATGACTGAATCGGGGCCCCACACTGGGAGACACTGAGCTGCAGCCTCACAGGTGGGGGAACTTGTGGGTGCCTCGTGTTGAGTCTGTTCCTTTTTATCACCAATAAGACAGTGTCCCAAATCTGGGGAGAATGAAAAGTTTCACCAAGCTGAATGGTTGGAAGGCGTGGCACATCTCGTCATTCTACTCAAGTGACTGGACACAGGATGACTCGTGACCACCCACTGCAGAGAAACTAAAAGAAGTTTGTTGCTATGAACACCATGTGTCATCTTGAACACTTATACACGAAGGGCATGGTCTATGGGCCACCCCGGTGGCCTAGGGGTTAAGTCTCAGGCTGTCACTGCCAGGGATGGAGCCACATCCCCCGCCAGGGAGCTACCCACAGGGCGCAGCAGACCTCTCCTGTCTCCCGCTGCTCCCCGCAGTAGTGGATTTCAGTGGATCTGCCGGTTCTGCTCCCCACTCTGTCTTTGGTGGATCCTCTTACCCCCACCCCCGCATCTCTGGTCTGTACCCCAGTTCTTGTATGCATAAATAATTAAAAAATCTAAAAAAATAAAATAAAATTATGTGAAATTTCCTAAAACTCTGACACGTTCTGGTCCGTTCTGCTTATTATTCTAAAACGTTTTATGCCACAGAACTGATTGTATTTCCTTGTCACTGTAGCATAATGAAATCTGTAATTTTGTTCATTTTAAAATCTTTTGCCATTTGCAGAGACTCTTTACCCTGGTGGTTTACTTTCAGAGGGATTCACAGGAAAAGGACTTTGACAAATACTTTAGAATGCAGGTTTATCATGGAACTGAGAATTAAAATGACAGAGATTATGGAAAAAAGGGACTCATAAAAATTTCTACTAAAAATTGAGATTTTTCCACATGGGACTGAATGAACTATAAAGGATAAATACAAATTTTAATGACTTTTTTGCTTGAAAAATGACTGGTTCTTTTATGTTTTACGTTCTTCCAGATTTGGGAGATCATGTTTTTCTTTTTTTAAGCGATGGCCCACAGCAATGACAAATTACGTAAGTTACATACTTTTGAGCATCACTGATGCAAACTTTGCTTCTCTCTCTCCCTGACACCCTCTGCATGGAAAAACCTTCCCGCAAGTATTCTTATTTCTCGTGGCAGGTTTAATTTAGCCATAAATTAATTTCACGGGACTCCAGGGGTCACAGATCTGTCCCCTCAAAACATGTCTCTTAGGTGAAAGAAGGGCTGGTTTCCAAGGGGGGGCCTGAGCCTGGGCAAAGGGTGCCCTTTTGCACAGAGGCTTTGCTGGTGTGAGGGACACGCTGTCCCCCGGCAGGCCCCCTCCCTGTCCCGGGGGGAACAAATAGCCTCCAAGCCTGCAGCCGAGCAGGCAGGACATAATCTGCAGACCTTGGATGACCCGCTCTGCGCTCCCGGCCTGGGCCTCAGCTAAGCCGCCAGGACTTTCCTGCCCCGCTGCCGGGCGCATCTCGGGGCATCCAGAGGGATGCGCCTTGTGCTCACTTTCTCCCTCGCTTTGTTCTCTCATCAATCTGCTCAATTACGTGCAAGCCTGTGAGAGCCCAGAGGGCCCTGGGTGACTCGCTGTCTGCCCCAGCGCGCCTGCATGTGAGTGACTGCGGTTTAGAGCCGCCGACTGGGGTGGCGAGTTGTGACTTGATAAGCCGCGGGTGAGGGTGAGTTTACGTTTTAGAAACTCACAACTTCAGGAAAACACAGGAAACACTTTTTATAATCACCTTTCTCCTTTCCAGGGATCACTTCAAGAGATTCACTTGGAATGCTTTCCATTAGCAACCCGGGAGATCTGGAAGGTGCCGCCAGTGGGCCCTAGCTAGGCAGACCTAGCGCATGGAGCAGGTGCAGGTGACTCTCCAGGCTCTCCACAAAGGAAGAGCACAGCTTCCAGGTGGACGCGGCCAGCTGCTGACGGAGGCCCAGCGCCCACTGAGCAACTCTCCAGGCTCCAGCTTTCTCCTTCTAAAAATGGGTGTCACTTAGCTTCCTTTTAATAATTTAATTAGTAAATTGGCATAAAATGCTGCTGGACTGTGGCATATCAAACAGCAATTGCTTTAATTATCAAAGTTACTAAGTAAACGACTTCTCCTTCATGGCATGATTTTTTATAGCACATTGACATGTATTTTTCTATAATTAAGAATGCACGTTAGGACTGAGACAAAGTAAGAACAGACATATCCATCCATCGTGCTTAAGCTCTGCCTGTTTGAATACTCGGAGTGGAAAGCTATGCTCGCCACCGACCTAAGAATGTTTCTGGGTTTCAGGAAAACTTTTTCTCCAGTAAAATGTTTATAAGGACTTTCCTCTTCACAGCGCCTCTGAGGACGCTCTAGAAAGCTGTTCATGAAGACGTAAACTCGTGTGCTCCTTCCGTCGTAGCGTCATTCAAGGGATTTCTCCCTGCGGTGAGTGCTCTGAGCTTGGGGGACCAGCTCGGTGATCACGTTTACAAGTTCCCCTACAGGGGCCATGCGTCTTCATCAAATCCTGGTGTTTGCAGGTATTTTTCTCTGCATGAGGCATTTTTAGGCCCCCGTTTCTCAAGATTCTCCTCCTGCTTCTGTGGACTGGCTCTCTCCCCTCTCCCCTGGGGATGAAGGTCCCGTGACTGACGCCTGCAGCCCGACGTGGTCTCAGGACCGTCTGGCTGAGCCCCAGGGATGCCCTTCAGTGGCTCGCATGTGGGGAGAACTGGCTGACCTTAGGGACTCTCTGGCCTCCTGCCTTCAACCATGTTCTCATGCACAAAATTGGCACCTGGGTACCGAGTGTCCCTGGGGAGGTCGCCATTCTCAGGGGCTGAGGAAATAGCAACGCTTGAAAGTGCCAGCCCCCAACCCCCTCAGGGAGGCACGCTGCTTCCTCTGATGTCTGGAAGCCTGAGGAGAGCAGGCCCCACCAGGAGAGCTGAGAAGGTCTTACTGATATTGACTGTCGGAGACTTGCCTCGTGTCAAAACCTGGTTCTGGCTCTCTTGGGTTGCCAGAGGGCTGAGTGGGCCTTTCTGAGCGGTCTTGACTTAACGCAGAGCACCGTGTTCTGCACAGCTTCCTCAGGGCCCCAGGTGACTCGCTTCCAGTGGAGTTTTCACTTGGTTTGTATAACGAGCGGACATCTCTTCTGTCTTTGTTTGCGGCCTTCCTCCATCCTGCTTTCTGAGACTCTGAGCCTTTCTCTTCTGCACTATTAAAGTGGTCTGAGCTGTAAGTTTCACTCATGTGGATGACAGCCAGTGCACAGGGGTGTAAACTCTTTTGAGGAGAAGAGTCGATAAAAATACTCCAGTGACTGTTTTACAGGAAGTGCTCTAGTAACGCAGTCCGTAGAAATTACAAATACCCAGAAGTCAAAACAAAACAGACTCTCCCTAGACTGATTTATTCGAGAGCGTATTTACTGCTCACCATTAAATACCTTTCTAATTAGTGTCCACAGTGGTGACTTACAGCCGAGTGTACTGTACACTGTTTCTGTTGGTCCTTTTAGGAAGTGTTTTATAGACCAATACATAGAAATAAAATGTGCTCGTAAGTTCCACATAGCTTTTACCTAATCATAATGAAGTGTATTATACATAGTTCAAAATACATTCTAAAAATATGTCATTTTTCACCAAGGATTAAAAATTTATTTGTGCTCTTTTAAGATAGTTTATCCCGGGCCTCCCTGGTGGTGCAAGGGGTTAAGATGCAACCTGTGAAGCTCCCTTCCCGCTGGGCCGTCCCCGCCTCTCTTGGCTCTGGGTCTGTGGCATAATTTCGAGCCCCCGTGTCTCCCGGGAGCACCCCGGGGGTTTCTTGGCTCATCACGCACAGAGCCAGGAGCAGGACGCTGGTGTGACCGCTGCGCTGCCCACACGCCGCCGTCCAGGGCACAGGCGACACCGTCCCGGCGCCCACCCGCAGGCTGACCCGGGCAGCCTGAACCCCCGGGACCCTCCACCCGCCTCACCTGCCCAAGCCCAGAGAGGCCTTTCTGTGCCCCCTGGGGAGTCTGGGAAAACTGGCGGCTTTTCCAAATCTTTCATCACACGATGCTCTGGATTATAGTAAAAACTCCACAAAACCTGTTATTCACATTCCAATTTTGAGACTCATATTCTCTTGAGGTTTCCAGGATGCTGGTCCTTATCATGAGCTTTTAAAAAGTCCGTTTTTGAAGTTGAAGATGCAAAGGCATTTTGCTCCTGACAGGATTCTCCCCTTTCTGAAGCAGCAATGAACAATGCTAATAGTTTGTTTTACTCACATAGTTTAGAATTTTCCAGAACATCCTCACTTTACAAACCCTGATCTACTCTCAGTAACATTTATTCATCAATTAGCAAACATTTACTGAGGGATATTGTTCTGTGCAAACCCTGAGCCATGATAGAGAAAAAAGACACAAAATATAAAATATTTTAAAAATAACTAGGCAAGGCCTCCTCTGGTGGCGCAGGCGGTTGAGCGCAGCACTGTGAAGCTGCCTGCAGCCTCTGCAGTGCGGGTTCCATCCCGGCCGGCTGGTGAGGGTCCCACATGGCGCGCAGACCTCTCCTGTCTCGCCTGCTGCTCCCCTCAGCAGTGCGTTTTCAGTCAGTCTGCCTGTTCTGTTCCCCGCTCTGTCTCTGGTGAATCCTCTCACCCTCCCGCACATCTGGCCTGTGCCCTGGTTCTTGTATGAATAAATAAATAAATCTTTAAAAAAAAACAGGCAGTAAAAATAAGCAAAACCCAGAAATTCTGAAGCTTTTAAGCATGTAAGATTCCATGTATATTATGACAAATACTTTTCTTGTGGCACCAATAATTGGAACCCTGAACTCTAAAACCCCATGATACATGTCACAGATGACCTAAACTTGATCAAAAGGATTTTTTCTCATTGATCTATTTTGCTGATTTTGTCAAAGTTACTGCACTCTCACGAGCCAGCCAGACTCCCAGCGCTCTCCTAACAGGCTTGCGGACAGCCCCGTTAGCCAAGCCTTCCCTCATTCCTGCAGCACAAACAAGGACCAGCAGGGCTTCCCTCTGTGTACAGCAGTTCCTCGTTGCCCTGAATCCCACATACTGGCTCCGCGGGAGAACCCACCACATCCTCCTCCTCAGGCCATCTGTGAGCCGCCAAGGCAGGCTTTCTGGGAAGGGCCTCCATGTGGAGACTAAGCCTGGCTGGGAGGGAAACTGCCCTGACAACGCCAGGCTGGCCATAGGCTGAGGACAGAAACAAGAGCTCGGTTCCGAGGACACATTCTGGCCCCAAACATTGCCAGACCTCTAAATGAAATAAAGACAGATGGAGTCTAGTCGTTTCTACAGTCACCTCCATGCTCTCATTCCTCTTAACACACTGGCTTCAGTTCAGGGTCAGGTGGCCGCAGCCTCTCCCAGCAGCTGAGGTCAGGACCCCCCAGGGCCCCTTCTATCACAGGGCACTTCACACCCACACTCACCCGACTGGGACGGTGCAGACACCCAGAGAACCCGCAGGCATGTCCTTGGGACGAGGGAGGAGGGTGGAGAGCCCAGAGGAAGCCCCGTGGACTGGGAGGAGGTGCGGAGGCCAGACAGCGGCCCGTGGGCGTCCTTGGGTTTTCTCGGCCCACAGTCTGACAAGGCGGCTGCTTGAGGGCCTGCGGAGCTCTGCTTCCCAAGAACGTCACCTGTTCCTGAGGGAGCTGAGTACCAGCGCGGCGCCAGTCTCCCGGCTGGAGTCGTCCTTTACGACAGGACTCCCCCATTTTAAGGCTGACGTCATACTCATAAAATACAGAAAAGAAAAGAAATCACATGCAGCATTGGAAAGATCTGCTGATACCGTTTCTTTTCTAACATTTCTGGAAGTCTCTAGCTCAATAAAAGTGATAAAGGTTGGGGGAAATTTAGTCTCGGTTCAAAAATAGAAGAGTATTTCTACCACACTGCTTTCAGAAAGAGGAAGACACGCTCAGGTAACCTTCCTCATGGATCTTCTTCCTCGGCTACATTCCTAACAGCGCCCCTCCTCCGGGGAGTGACACAGAACCCCTAGAACCGCGAGCCCGCCCATGCCCCGCGGGTTTCATTGCGCGCCGCGCACCCTCTGCCCGCGCCTGAGTCAGAACGGAGGGGCTGAGAGGTGCTCACTGGCAGCTGTAAAATCAGCAGATCCCGGGGTGGGACGTACAGCACTGGACGGGCGTCAATAATATTGGATTCCATATTTAAAAACTGCTGAGAAAGCAGATCTTGAACGCTCTCTTCACAAGAAGAACTATTTGTCACTTTCTAGGTGGGCACTGGACTCACCGCGGTGCCCGCTTGGCAAATGTGTATGGATAGCGAATCACGCTGCTCACTGAGACTCGCGCGGGGCGCACGCCAGCCAGAGTTCATGAGCAAAGTGAGCTGCGCCTCCAGGAGCGCGCGGAGCTGGGCTCGTGTTACCGGTCTCTGTGGCCCACTGGCCGGTTAAGATGAAAGCGCAGGGGGGGGGGGGGAGAGGGGGAGAGCCCATGCCAGGCAAGCTGTCGAAGAAGTTATTTCCCATTGACAGAAATTCTGTGTTATTGGTGAAATTCTGATCTCACGTAAGTCTGTGCGGGTCGGAGGCCTACGTAGTGAGAGCAGCCTGCAGGGGAACGTGCCGTGAGTGCTGATGACCTCGGCAGAGACCGAGAGCCTCTCCGTAGCCGTCAGCTGGCCCGCGGAGAGGCAGGTTCTCTGGAAACCACTGCCGAGCTGCCAGCGTGAAGCCGAGCCCCGGGGGAGAGAAGCGGGAGCCGGAGCTCAGCGCTGCAGGGAAAAGCTCTCGCCCAGCCAGGACCCGACACTTTTCCCTTTGGCTGCATTAAGTCTGAATCACGACGATCGCGTGATCATGTTACTTTTCTTAGCACTGGCTCCTGGAAATGCTCATCTGCATTCACGTCCACGGGGCATCTACGAAGATGGTTGCTACAGACAGTTTGCTGCCCTGGAGACACAAACCACTGAAAAACCACGGGCTGGCTAGGGAGGATTTCTCCTCAAAGTGCAGAAACAAGTGGTGTCAGTTCAGACGCATCAACTCAGCGAGGCGGATGGCTGCCCAGGGAGTGTGTGTGTGTGTGTGGGGGGGGGTCCTGATTTGTGTCACCCCGTTTTTTCCTGGAATAACAATTGGAAGCGGCTCTTTCATCGCTTTTATGAATAAAGCAGAATGAAATTTAATCATCTCAAAAGCTGTTAGCTTCAATGTTGGGTGTCTGGAGCTCTGTGCGCACCGTCCAGCGACGGCGCCTGCAGCTGCTGTGGGGGCTCCGCCCGACTGTCCGGTGTCTTGCTGCGTGCAGAATGAGCAGGTGCCCCAGCTGAGCGCTCACAGAGGGGCCGGGTTAAAGCTGGCTGGTCGCTCGTCTCCTGATTGACACTCCCCGTCGCTCTCAACGGTGATTTGCAGTGATTTGACCTGAGTCACTGAGTCTGAGCAGCGGCTCCCGTGCCCACCGGCCACTGGCTGATTGGTTTTGGCTCATTCCACGGATGACGTCGGACACCAGGCTGCAGAGGGAGAAGGCTGTGCTCGACGTGCTCAGATCGCGCTGTTTCTACTTAGCGATTTTCCTTTGATGTTTGTATCATTGACCTTGCTAATTCTTTTTTTTTAAATCAAATTTTGACTTAGCAGCATTTACAGAACCACCCGGTGTCAGGAGCACAGCTTCACACCTTGACGTCACTCACCCTTTGCCGGAGCCCAGTGTCACCCCCAGGACACTCACCCTCCTGCTCCTTCCGCTCCCCGGGGTCCCCACCCGGCCACCGAACCATCCCAGAGCCACAGCAGCCTAGGGGTCGGGAGAAGATCGTTCCCCAGCGCACATC